AACTGGTGAGTCCAGTTGTCCAAAGAATTTAAAGTCCCGTGGACCACCTGCCAGCAAGTCTTCCTTTAGAATCCACTCCAGTAAAAACAGCGATTCCCCAAAACAGCCCTGAACCAGGCTGTAGAATTTGGCAGACTCTATCTCATAACATAAGCCCATCTTCACACTGTCTCCTCACACTTCATGAATAAACATTCCTTTATTCAAATACGTTATATATTAACTACGTCCAGTAATTGTGATTCAACTTCGAATGGTAAATGGAGTCATCCTGGCAAGACTACAGAGTTTGCAATTCAAATTACAGAAATTTTAATAATGGCGCAAATAAAAATTAGTGGCCTGGTTCCTAAGGCAATGGCATGGCAACACTTTCATTGCAGTAGTAGAAAGCACACATAAGTACTTCACTGATAACCCAGGGGTCTTGCTTGGCTGTGCGTCATCACCCAACTTTACCTGCAGCCTTACACTGGTGCATCCTTTCAAGAAGTGGGTATGCAGCCAGAACCCCAAAGCTCCCAGCCCCTGACACTAAGAGGTAAGGCTGCTACTTCTCAATAAATAACAATGAAACAGTGGCTGGATTAAATGATCTCCGTCCATTAGCACCATAAACAATAATTATCTGGCGCTGCCCTCTGCGAGCTTTCCATGCTCTTATGAATAAATCAAGCCTTATTGATTTACTAAGCCAAACCGTTTTACATTTTGCTCCACTAATAAGGGCTATAATCCCTGCTGCACTTAGTGATGCTTTAATGTATGTTCCTTAATACTTTTAATATGAAAGATTAGCGCCGATTAGCCCCCAAGCAGGGACACTGCTCTCTGAGCAGCAGAGTGGCCACTGACCTCAGGTCGCTCTGAAAATGTCCTTACTAATGGCGTTTCCTGACTGCTGATGGGAATCGCATCACAGCGACGTACACTGGGATGCTGCCGTGCTGTTTCTTCCTTCCTCAGAGCATTTAACGTAATAACAACGGCTTACATTAATTCAAAGATTAGATTAATTTAAAATAGCGAGGCAGGAAAACATGGAACTGTAAAGAGTTCTCCGTGCCCCAGAAAACTCTCATCTAAGGAAATTAAGTTACTCTTTCAGTGCAGTGACTGCAGAGACACAAAATTATTTTGGAAAGTCCCAGAGGTCCCCAGCTCTGCAGCCTGAGTCTGGGAGGGAAACTCCCACACACTGCCTGTCCTCTCAGCTTCCCCCACCACTCAGGGGGACTGAACAATTTAGTTCTCTGCATTCAAAACGGAACCCTGAGTCTCTAATTTTTTACTGAGGAAAATTCTACCCAGCTCCTCAAAATAATTTGTTATCCTGGTTAATATGTCCTGCCATCCATTAAAACTTCATTATTCCCAACAGACAGACACTTTACTCTTATGCATCAGACAGACTCCTGAGCTAGATGTGCAGAGACCCTAACTGCAAAACAAACTCCATTCCTCATGCGTAAAATAGAAAAATTAGCACCCATGCTTTCTACCTCCCTTCCTTCCTTCCTTCCTTCCTTCCTTCCTTCCTTCCTTCCTTCCTTCCTTCCTTCCTTCATCAAGGAATTTCAGACTAGAAAGTTCTTCAGGGATTCTACATTTTAACCTCCCATTTCTAAGGCGAATGCTAGGCAGCAGGGAATCATCTATTAAGCTGATTTAATAGTGGAGGCAAGATAAAAAACTCAGATCCCTGGTTTCCCATAATATCCGTTCCTCAGTGACACTTTGATTCCTGGGATCTGTAAGAAACCTCTATATCATCAAGGGGCCTCCCAGACAGAAACATTAGTGTCATGGATCACTATAACTTGTGTTTAATATTCTGCGATGCCTTTCAAGTTCAACCACAACAAAGATCTGCTAGGTTGAGTTGCAGAATTTACAACGATATTAGCTCTCTAAGAAAAACCACACAAAACTCTCCACTCAAAACATAGCTTCTCCTATTCCCTCTAGAACAACCACTGCTTTTGGTTTCAAAGCAATAATTATCCTGTCCTACAGCAATCAATAAAACCTCTTGCCCCCTGAACCTGTTATTTCCTGACTTTGTTCTCTGTACTAAAGATTTCCAAGTCCTATTGATTACCTATAAATTTTTTTAAGTTCTTTAAAAACCAACACTGAAAAAACTCTCAAGTTCACTTCACTTATTATTGTCTGAACAGACTTCAAGTCTTTCAGTCACATTGATGGTCTTCCTTTTCCCAGGGTTTTCACATTTTTCATTTTGAACCTGTCATTTCACAGGTGTCTGTGTCTTGGCACAGCATCTATAACATACAAATTTAATAGTGTTTCTGAAACTGTGACTACTGCCACATTTTCCTTCCAAGTGAGAGTTGCTGATGAATCAACTCTGTCTCTTCACTCCACAACTGTGTGGAATTTTACCAAATGAGCCCATGAGCTCTTAGTGTTACCACTCAGAACTCTGGAACTTCTACCCAAAACTAGAGCAGCTAGTGCAACCATCTTGCATCCTTCACACAGGCATTTAGCAACTCAAGTGTCAGACTTTAAGAAAGAGTCACAAATGGGATGATGAGTGTCCACAACAAGGACCTGACCTGTAGCAGGGCCATAGCCAGGAGTCAGGTCTGAGCTTTGGGCCCCTGAAATTCAGTAGTCCCTCTCTGAATTTCCCTTCTCCCTGTGCCCCCAATCCTGTATTTTTCCCCACCAAGAAGGAACCCACATCTGTCTGTCCCTTCATGTGTGTGAGGGGTATATCTACTGGGCATCTGTCTGCAGAGTTGAGAGGCAGAGTCTAAATCTCTAACTAGGATTGATATTTTCCCAGTATCCCATCAATAAAATTCTCCAACTTCCCTACGATGTGCATATGCAGAACTGTAAGTTAAGATAAAGCCTGGCCGTTAACAAGCATTTTCCAGTGCTCACCCAAAAAGTACCCATGGAAGAAAAGGCTAGAAATAAAGGTTCACACCGCTAGATAAAAAGACACAGGTGAATACTAACTCAAAATGCAAGGAAGAAAGGTTAACGATTCAGGGCACTGATTGCCCTGGTAACAGTGAGGTATGGACCACCATGTAGAGCCCTCAAGTAGAGCCCTCAATTACTCAACCACCCTCTAGGGAGAAGTCCTGGGGCACAGACATTGAGTGCTAGCTCGGGGTGCCTGGATAAGCAAGCTCTCAACATGGGGTTGACTGTCCAGAGCTGCTAACCACACTCAATTGAAAGAATGCACAACTAGGACAGGTGAATCTAAACATGAGCGAAGGACAAAATGTAGTTCACCCATACAACCGAATACTACTCAGCCATAAAAAGAAAGAGATTCTGATAAAAGTGCCAATATGGATGAGCCTTGAGGATGCTATATTAAGTGAAAGAAACCAAACACAAAAGAGTAAGTTCTACATGATTCCATAAATGTAAAAGGCCTGGAATAGGAGAGTCTACAGGAACAAAAGAAGATTGGGAGAGGAGAGCACCAAAAGAAGAGGAGAATGAGAAAGACCTTGAGTTAATAAAAGTGTTCTAGAATTAAGACAGTTACTATGGTTGCATAGCCTTGTGAACATATTAAAAATCACTGACCTGAACACTTTAAAGAATGAATTTTATGGTATGTGAATCTTATTTTTAAACTATACACACAAAAATGTTTGAGATTCAGTCATCACTAAGGGCTCACCCAGCCCTGCAAGTCAGATAGGATCTGACCTTGTGATCCAAGAGGAAGAGATGGATAGGCTGACAGCTGGAAAAGGAGGAGGACAGTGGAGAAAGAAGTTCTAGGCATGGGACAGAGGAGATACAAAATCAAAGAAGGGGAGCCTTTTGCGTTTTTATCTGAGACAATAAGGTTGAAGATGTCAACTAAGGCCAAGGCAATGCAGTCAGTCCTAACAAATGTCACATAAATGCAGCTCTTAAACTCAAGCCATTTTTCGTGACCCTCTCCTTAATAGGCTATCAATTATGTGTTACAAAGGGTAGCCAAAAAAAAAAAAAAAAAAACCCATAGACCATTCCCCTAATCAGAAAAACAGTACAACATACCCTTAAAAAGAAGATAAAAATTCATATTCTCTGAAATGCTAATGCCATGGTTACCTCTAAACCGTATATGTCAAAACAGTCAACTGCTGCCATGGTTATACAAAACAAGAGAATAAGATGGTAAGAATCAACTACTTGGTTGAACTCAGTAGTTTTCACACTTTCAACACCAGACGGGCTTCTTTAACACCTGTGTACTGTGCAGCCCCTTCTCCAGCAGGGATCTCTCAACCTCAGCTCTACTAGCGGGTGGAGCCCGATAATTCCTAGTTTCGAGGCCATCCTGTGCATTGCAGGAGGTTTAGCAGTATCCCTGGTCTTGTCTCATTAAATGTCAGGAGCAGTACTTCCCCGCACATCAGGGACCCAACCACAGCTGCTTTCAAACACTGCCAGTTGTTCCTGGGGATTAAAACTGTCCCAGGAGAGAACCACTGCAATGTAGCAACTATATTGGCCTCATCTCCATGGGCTTTGACCATGGAGTGGCATCATTTCTCCTCCTTTCTCAATCCTTCTTATTGTCTCCCCATAAAAAGACAAATTGAAATTGATTAAAGAAGCCTGTGCAAGAGGCTCTATAGTTCTGTTCAAAATGTCAACTCTGAAGCAGAAGGAAAGCAACAAAGCAAGCACAAGGCCTCACCCCCTGGCCTCCCTTCTGCCTTCCTTCCCCATCCTCCAAAAACCAACCTGACAATTAGGATCCAATGTTTTCATGTCCTATAGACCATGGTTGGCTCAAAGTCAGGACCATGAAAATGCACCCACTCCCCTGCCCCTGCCCCTGTCTTCCAGATAACGAAGCCCAAGAAACAGTTTTTAAAGAGCTGGAAGACCTTTGCACTAAATCCATTTGGGATTTTCTACTAGGCTCTCTCTGACCATACGATGTCTACAAGCATCATGAAGGATGATCACTGTAACTCAAAGCCTTCCACAGGTGGGCTCACCATCTGGGGGCATCAAAACCTTGTTGTTCTGTGTGCACCACCCAACAGGGTGAAGATCTGCTATGACCACATCACACCAGAAGTCAGCCCTGCGGTCCTCCCCATAGCCACAGTAGCGTAGAAGCAGCAGCTGCCCACAGGTGGTGATGATTGTAGCCACCCAGTATGTATCTGGGTTGTTCTTATTGGCCACCTCCAACTTCATTCCCGGCTGGAAGTTGCTCTGAATGCTAATTTCAACCTTAAAGAAACAAAAACACAGGAAAATCATCAATGTACTGGAAACATGCTTCCAAAAGATTATAAGTTCTACTTAAAAACAGAGTTCTTTAAAATAGTATTTCTCTTTCCCTTAAGACATCTATTTGTCTAAGACAAATACAACAGGAGCCACAAATGTAATGCTAACTTTTCTAGAAGCCACATTAAAAAAAAAAGACCCACAGATCAAATTAATTTTAATAACACATCTTATTTCACCCACTAAATCCAACACATCATCATTTCAACATGTATGTAGTATAAGAAAATTTGAAGGAGATGGTTTTCTTTTTGAACAAAGCCTGAAACCACCCAAAGTTGCTCGTGTACCAGTAGCAGGTGCATGGACAGTGCCCATCTAGAGAATGTATTTGCTTTATTCTTTCTTTAATTGAGGGTTATACTAGTTGATATTTACCAGCCATTCCCCTCCTTCCAAAAAAAAAAGTTTTCCAGCCTGGTGGGTCTTAAAATATTTTCTGTCTTTGAACAGCAGGTGCTTAAAAGGGATGATGGGACCATAAATTACTTGTGTCCCAGGAGATGAGGTAGCTTTTCCTTCGAAGCTGTTGTACAGGCCTGGGGAAAAATCTTCATCCTGCAGGACAGATGCTTGCACTGCCCTCCAGAAACACAGGTGTCATGAAAGACGCTCGCTTACAAAGAAATCAAAGCCTGGATGGGCTCACCATCCAGGGGCATCCACTGCCATTAAAAGGGAGGTGGGAGAATTGATGAGTCAAAGAGAATGAGAGAAATTAATTGATGACTTCACACAGAAAGAAAGGGAAAAGTTGTCAATCAATATCTGTCTCCCTCCAACTGCCCTAAGGAAACTACCAAAGTGCCCAGTGTCTTCAGATGTACATGTCATCATGGCTCCAGCAGGACCATGATCCAGGATGTACCCATGCTAGGAACGCTTTGGTTTTGCTATGCTTACCTATTTAGCTCTTGGTTTCACTACATAGCCACAATTACATTCATAATTAACCCTAACATGACGGACATGAAAAGAGAAAGGGGAATTCAATCTACCATTTACAAGGCACACAAATTTTAATGAGGTCTTAAATTCCTTTTCAGAAGAACACTTCACCTCCAAGAAGAATTAAATGTCTTATTAAAATGAAGAATCAAAGTTCTGGCTTTCTTCTTCAGCCAAGGAGCCAAAAGGAAGTTAAGAAAGTAAACTGAGTTTCTTATGAAACTCAGGCTGAATCACTGTCCAGGGGAGCCCAGTGTAAAAAAAGGCTTCTCAGAGCTACATTTTCACTTTCTAAAATAGTGACAACTAAGAACTTAAGTCTTGGAAATTTAGCCTTTTCCTTGCTACCTATACAGTACCAATATCTCACACCTAAGCAAAAATTGGATAAAAATGCACTTTAAAAAAAAAGAAATTTCTGGGACTTATCCTCTGGTGAGCATGCTGTTTGCTGTTTGCATTATTCAAAGAAATATTAATGAGGTTAAATCTAAATATTTTCAGAATATTTATAGTTACTCTCATTTGACTCAACTGCCCACATAGAGCTATGAAACTCATGTGTCCTTTCAAAATCAAAACCTAGCTCACAATAAAAACACACAGCCATTGCAGCTACTCAAAAGATGTCACGTGTTGCATCTTCTTGCCTGCTTAACTGGCTTTTTATTTATGAGAATCATCCTCACCTGTGGCCCCTCTTATCAGCAGTTATCTGTGAAAACCAAACTAACTTGCATGCCTTATTATTTCTATGAAATCTTAGCAGAATTGCCTCTTTCCTTTCTTCCAACTGGTTCTTGGGTTTTGCCCTACAGATCCCCTTCCCTTCCCGTCACAGATCAGAGGAATGATCAGATGAGCTTTACGTACATGTTTGAAGGATGTGTGAGGAGCCGCCCTGGCACCTGTTTCTTCCAAATATTCTCCCCAGTTAAAGTCAATTTCATCCAAGCTCGAACCTTCCTCTGTCAAGAAAAAGAAAAACAAAACAGAAGAATATTAATACTAGGGCAAAAAATGGAAAGGCACTGGCCTTCAAGTGGGCACAGAAAATCCTTAATTCAAGAGACAGACTAATCCAGTGATTCAGGGGGACACTGGGGAATTCTACACAGACGATTACTTTGCTCACTGTGGAGATGTTGACTAACCACCCTGACAAAATCAAAAGCAACACTAGTGCTGGGGCAGACGAAATACAATTGTCTTGAGGCTGATTTCCTATCCTGTAACATATTAGTTTGCCATTAGACTTGTAGACCCCCAGTCTTTGGGGCAGTTGGAGGACCAAGGTAAAGGAACTTTCCAGCACTAAGTATGCACCATGATGTACACAGGCACCAACCCTACCTGTCCACTAGTTACCTACGGTAGCTAGAGACTATAAAATAACATCCTGGACTGCTAGTGCCACAATGACTCTGGTGACATTTTAAAGGAGGAGATAATCAAGGGCCAGAAGGATTGCTGGAGTAGGTGAGGTCATCCAGCATGTTGGTGACAGAAACAGACCAGTTGTCTGCCCACCCTGTCCAGGGCCCTCTCCTGATGAAATAGAGCTGTTGGGGCCATTCACACCAGCTGAAACAACAGAACACGTGCTTCTCCCATCACAAGGAACAAGGGAGGCTACGATCAAATGTACATGATTCCTTAAAATCAGAACTCCTTTAAATTTGCACAGCCCCGCACACCCAGGCTCTAAAGGAAATTAAGCGATCCCCAAAGCATTTAAGGCTGCACACAAGATATCATGTGTAAAACTGAAAAGCACCAAATAATGCAACATAAGACACAGAGAGCAAAAATGTTATGCTATCATCTCAAATGGGAACAGCTAAGAAGTTGCACACATCACTTGACTCTATCTGCATGGTTCTAGGTGGCACCCAATAGCTCTGCCCCTGTTACTTTCTCCCCAGACATCACTGGGCACCTCTTACCAAATCCACGAATCAGAGGCATCAACTCAGCACTGTGCTTTTGCCACCATGTGCTGCAACAGTGTCTGAGGGCTGGTGCAAGCCTGTTGAATACAAAGTCAGAACATCTTCCCATCCTACATGTCTGGCCTTGAGGCAAGAGAGTAAGGAAGTTCAGGTTAGTCAGGAAGGGGTGGTCACTGACCGGATAAAATGTCATCAAAGTTCTGACTAGGTCACGCCCCAAGTCCCACCTACACATTCCCCATTCAAGAAACAGCTGGTTGGGAATGTCCTTTGGAACCCTTTTTTGTGGTCAAGTCAGTAACTGCTATATCCTGATAAAGGACTGTTGCCCAGAACAAAAAAATACAAAACTGGCACATCCACTGAGGGTTGGCAAAGCTGTCCCAGATGACCTTTCCGGACACACCCACACACACACTTAAAGCATCATACATATGGACTGCCTCTCATGCATTAACTATAACAGGATGGATGTGTACAGTCAAAACTAAGTCATATTATATCTTCCTGTTAACAAAACGTATCAATCATAAAAGGGATGCTCTTCTCAAACCCCTCTTCCAATGCCCCTTTTTGCCTCAGCTGAATCAGCCTTAAAATACAATGCAGACAGGAGAATCAAAACTTTTTCACTCAGGTCCCCTTCTGTCCTCTGTGGGAATGTATTTATGCTTGCAATAAATCTATGCTTTGCTTAGTACTTCCATGTGTTTTGTCCAATTCTTTGCTCAATTCTCCAAGAACTGGATCACTCACAAACTCCAGGCCATAACAGTCTTGGCTCACACCTCACAGTATCTGTGAGCCAGTGCCACATATTGTCACAGAAACATCCTAGAGCTCTACTGTGTTTGGGTCTCCACTCTTGACTAAGAACTCCACACAAATAGTCTCATTATCCCCCCAAGAACCCCGAAAGATGGGTACTCACAGGACAGCTAGGGAGCTCAGAAAGGTTAGGGACTCACTGGTCACACCAGTCCACCTCAGAGTTGAAGGTCTGAAATAGGCTGGCTTATTAAGTACCTTCTGCCCTCATTCTCCTGCCCCGTTGTCATGGCTCAGAAGCCTGGGCCACCTCTTTGTCCATCATTAGTATCTAACAGGGGCCACCAAGGCTGATGCATCTGCTACTCTGTGCTGGGAAACATTTAAAGTATTCCATAGTCAGACACACGGATGGGGGGCAGTACCCAGCACTGAAAGGAAAACAGAGAGCATAGAGTTCCTGGAGCCAATCCAGGGAGACGAAGAAGAGAAGCTACAAGAAGACATAGGCATGGAACTGAGTCTTGGGCCTAAGGAGGCAAGAGGTATTACCTGAGAACTATGATAGCTGTTGAAAAATGGAGAGGGCTCTGTTGTTGAGTGATTCATCCCTTCATACCACAAACATTCATTCAGATTCAGGATGAACCATCAGGGCCTGTCTGCTGCTGCCAGTATCCAGAATTACAGGTCCCAAGGAACCTACTCTCAATGAACCACAGAGCTGATGGCTCCACCACTTCACATCAGTGGTTCCAGGACCTAACTCTTTTCACTTCAGCTCTCAGACCTTTTCTTGTAGCTCCTTATTCTTCATACAGTTCTAATCAACACTACTAGTGTTTTACCAAAAATTGTGCTTCCACCACATTTTAACTTAGTACAAACTACAAATCAAGTTGACCATGTGAGAGGGTTCCATTGTGTCTCTCTAGCAGAATCAGGAAGATGGCCCTGTCACTCTTGGCTGGCCCAAAGAAATACTTTATAAAGTACCCCAAAAGTCAGACCCAGAATGGGACTCAAAAATTAAACACCCTGGTGACTTTAACCATGCTGTCTGAACAATAAAGTCATATACAAAATTTAGGTTTACTCATGTACAGAAGCTGTCACATACAACCTTTCTTGGGCTACGTGCTACAAGCAATTTATTCTCTAAAGACATTTCAATGAGCAATAGATAAACACACACAATGTTTACGAGGAGAGGTCTCATAAACCCAGAGCAAATATTTACAGATGATTCATAAACCTCTGAAACCCATAAACATTTTATCAAGGAAACTCTGACAATCTCCCACCACCATAAATGAACCAGTGGGAGGCATTTCCCCATGATGTCATGAAAACCGAGTATGAAAAGCTACTAAGAAAATTTCACAATTTATAAAAGAAAACAGGAGTGTTCATTAGCAGCAATCCAGTTTTAGAAAACAGACAGCTATTTGTGGGACCACAATATTCCATAATAAACATAAAAAGGATACCTTATTAAAAAGCTAGAATACAAGTGACTTTAGAGTGAAAAAATGCAATAAACAAACAGCCCATACATCTTTTTCTTAAGTAATAAAATCTTGGATTTGTTCCATTTTACAATCTGAAATAAGGCTGACTTTGCAAAGCTGAATATTAAAACCCATAACTGTTACCCAATAAAGGACCTGGGACTTGCAGAGTCTGAATGAACAAAATCTTACTGAATATATTCTTAGGTGCTAGATATTTTCTTAAGTGTCTTTTAAGAAGAGACAGAAAGAAGGCATTAAACCTTCTTTCTTTAAATATGGATAGTTCATACCAGCATAAGGAGTAGCGTGCAATTGTGAGCAATACTACAAATAACTCAGAAAGGAACTCAGACCACCTGCCACACCTGGATCTGAACTCACAGTGTAGGACCCCACAGTCAGTGATGGTCACCAGAACACAAAAGATCCTTCTGGCTATCCCAACTAAACTCAGTTTTCTTGGGGGAGAAAAAAAAGGAAAAGTCACCCACCCGAGAAAAGCAGCAAATATTCAAAAGAGGGAATATTAGTATTGACTCACAGAACTAGTCAGTTCTTTTTTCTTCCCTCGCGCTTGCTAGACAGGGACTCTAACTTGAGTCACTCCACCAGCCCTTTTTGCAAGATTACTTTTGAGACCGAGTCTTGCTTTATACTAGGGCCAGTCTGGGCCATAAGCCTCCCATCTCTGCTTCCCATGCGACTGGGATGACAGGCTCACACCATCATGCCCCAGCCACTGGTGAAGATGGGAATCTGGCGAACTTTTTGTCCAAGCTGGTCCTGAAATGTGATCCTCTGGATCTCTGCTTCCCAAGATGCTAGGATTAGAGACTGTGGCCACTGCACCCAGCACGTCCTGAGTTTTTCTAAGAACATTCACCCCTTTTCTTCCCAAACAGAAGAGCCTGTGGCTCTGCAGTTAATAAATTCCCAGTGCCAAAAATACGATGCAAACCCACATTTCCAGCATAAGTCTTTCTTCCCAGGGGTTGGCCCAGTGAGGACACGCAACACCACTTTATCTACAGACTTCATCAGGAAATTACACTGAGCAGGCCTACAACAATGTCAAGGAATCTATTTATCACTGTGTCAGCAAACTATCTTGCTTGCTTTTATCACAGCCACTGAAGATGCCTTGAGCTCCAGCCATGGGACCTCTGGGGAGCCCCGTTCCCATGCCTCACAGGGCACTGCTGTTCACTCCGCTTGCTGGGAGGCCTGGAGTCCTGGGTTATGCATCCACCTGTGCTTACCCCAGGCACAGCTCCGTGTTCCTGGGAGGCAGTCATTTTATACTGTGGCAGTTTCATGTACAGGACCTGAGTGTCAGCGATTGACGCTAACTAGGATTTGAACTTTCCTTAAGAAAAGAAGATTAAAAAAAAAAAAAAGTAGTAAATAACGGGCAGTGAGACTTACAGTCCACTGCTTCAGCTGAAGTTTTTGTCATGGAGGGACTGTCACCTCCCCTGAGGAATCAAAGCAGCTGGGGATGCAGGGTAGGGACAACTGAGCCACAAAGAGAAAAACATCCTGGAGCCTCCAGGTTGAGTTCCCATCCTATGAGTCCCTGGTTTTCTCAGGGAAGTGGAGTCACTTGCTAGGGAGATGACATAATGTGTGCAACACACAGGAGGAAAGTGGAAGAATGAACGAGAAAGCATCTGAGCTGCACCTCTGTCCCATAAAGTAGGGACCAGGGTGGGGCAGGATTCCTATGACTTATCCCTACACTGAGGGTGAGGCACCCTTCCCCAGACATCTTGGACCAACTCCATAGCCTCAGGATGCCTGGGATTACATCCTGCTTCTCACACACACCACCCAAATGGCTTCACCTTTGTAGTTTTCTCACCTACAAGATAATGACAACGAAAGTGGCCACCTCACTGGGTGTTGAAGGCCTAAGTGAATTAACACATGGAAAGGACTCAAACTTTGAGTGCATGCTCACACAGCTATTGTCTCTACTTCACAAGCCCACTTAGAATCTACTGAAGAACACTGAATTTGCTTTCTCTTGTACATCTAATCCATAAATCTTACCTAAAAACTCTTCCCAGAAAAGACCCTCGGTTTTAAGGTTCTATACAGCCCTCAGCATGGCCCACAGATGTTTTCAACTAAAAATATTTTATGTATTAACAGGTTGGAAAAATAATAATAAATGACTTGAAAATTCATATGTAACTACATCATTAGTAGTTTAAATGCTCAAAACTCAATAGGATTTTCTAGTGGTTTTTTTTTTTTTGGCAGTACTGACATTTGAACTCAGGGCCTCACACTTGGTAGGCAGGCACTCTGTCACTTGAGCCACTCACCAGACATGATTTTCTAGAATGAGGTCAGCCTCTGCACTCCACAAAGATTTAGAGTCTGCTTTAACATTTATAGCACCATCTAAAAGTTTTTTCTTCATACAAGTACAGATGCAAATTCTAAAGAGAAGAGACAGACTAGCCAGAGTGCCAAACCTAGGCCAGTATCGGAAAAACATAAAAGATTTTTAGACTTATTTAGAAATATCATTTGTGTTAAAGATCTGGACATCTTGTATGACTTAGGCCATCTACCACACAAGAGCAGGGAACACATCATAGAGTGAGTATAGGATGGGCTTCTGGCATGGAATCCCCAGTCACTGCCATCACACTCTCAGACTTCCCATCCATGGAACCATTCTCAAGGAAAGGTCAGTGCAAATAATTTCCTGGCAGCAGGCTATCATTCATGAGTTTCAGAAACTACTTATGCCAGAGAGATCTACTGCACTGCATGAAAATGAAAAGCCAATACATACTTGGCTTTGAAACAGTTTTGAAAATGCATTGTTGAAAATGATGTAATAATAAACGCAATGGGATGGATGATATACTTCAAAAATACGGTAAGTGCTCAGGACCTCCAGAAGTGGAAAATAACCTCGCCCAGAAAACATTAGACTTTCTAAAGAAGCAAAATTGTACTTTAACAAAAAAAAAAAGGAAAGAATTAGGATGAAACTTCAGTCAACAGGCTGATGCCCTCTCAGAAAAGAATTCCCCTATTCCCACTGGAGGACAAGGGTTCAGCTCTACTTGTAGGAGAAGTTTTCTTACTCACACTTTATGTGTAGAAAAACTGAAAGGGGGCCAGCTGAGCTGATTTTGAAGAAAATATTCGTATCTTTTATCCTACTAAGGCATTTAGTTATTTCAGGTTTTGTCCAGAGGAAGGCATAGTTTAAGAAACATAATCTAGTCAATTCAGTGATACCAAGCCATCTGTTGTGGTGTCATTGACTAGCCCAATCAAACCTCGAAGACAGACTTGGTCACTCCTTCAGGAAGTCAAATCTCCCACTGAGTTAATGCACATTTTTATACGAATTCAGAGAGTAATCGTTTATGATTCACAGCGCTGTGTTGTCCTTTTTAATATTCTCGTGTGTACCGCAATTCTTCTTAACAAAGCATCCTTTTTAAATAAACCCCTTCTTGTGTAAATATTTTTAAAAGACATGTTTACAAACTCATTAAATATTAAAATTCAATCAAAGGCTGTGCTTTTTGTTGTTGGTTACCAGATTTACCCCTGGGTGGGAACACCTCACCACCAATTCACATGACCTCAATTTCTTTCATGTTACACAGTTTTTGAAAATATGTGTCTTGAGTCAGAGACATCTAACATTTGAGCAGATCCCATCTCTAGCTCTCAGACACTTAAGAGAAGATTCTATTTCCCAGTCTCCCTTGCAGCAGCAGAAACACTGGACTACCTCCTGGCCAGAAGTTGTGAGCAAAACTGGCAATTTCTCTTCTCATCTACACCACTGAACTACTGGTTCATACCAACCCTGGTCACTGTGCTGAGATGTGACACTGTAGGACAGTACACAGTGACTAAAGGGAACAGAGCACCCGTGGACATCTGTTGGGAACAATGTAATGATTTAGAAACCTTTGCTGGCTTACTCCACTGAGATTTTGACGTACTGTGTCACCTCACTGTAACCTCGCCCATGCATCTCATATAGTCATATTAAATCTGACCCCACAGTCTGAATAACTTTAAAGAGACTGTACCCTTAGACATACTGCTTAGACAGGACAGAAAATCCCAGGCACAGGCAGTGCGTAAGGTCTAGTAAGGTATAAGTGCTACCCCATGGTTTCCAGAACGTTTCAGGAAGCTATTGATCAATAAACCAAAAAACCAAAAGACTCGAGCAAAGTCATACCTGAATCAAGGTCTCCATTGCCGTTAGCTGAGCCGACATGTTTTTCCAAGGGTGAAGAAGAGTCTTGCATGTTGGAAACGGACAAACTGCTCTCCATGCCTGACGATTAACTATCCTCTCGCCTTAATTCATCCTGCAGGAAGGGTTATCTAAGGGTAACCAAAAACAAAAATCAGAGACTATTAATCACACCAATCATATTAATTCATTTTTAAGCGCTCCAAAACCTCTACAATCCTGTCAGAGGTGCTACCAAGTCACTGTAACATTTAGGATGCAATATAATGTTGGTCACAGAAAATACCAAGAATAAAGACTAATCTACACAAGGTCAACAACAAATGTCAACAGCAAAGCAAAACCAGCAATTTTCTTGAAGTTATTAGCACCACTAAAATGAACACATTTTGACCAACAATTAGAACTTCTATCTCAATCTGGCATGGAAAGCCCTCCCCCACCTCTCTCTGAAAGCTGGAAAGGAGCAAGCCCATCCCAACCTTGTCATCCCCACACAGGTATAGCAGTACCTGGTGTCCTGACTGAGTAAGAAACCGTGTGTCACAAGTGATCCAGTACAAAAGCAGTTATAGTATCGACATTGGTGTGGTTTTCTTTTACAGATTAGAAGTGGGCAAGACTTCTCCTATAACAGCACTGCCTTTCCTCACTTGCATTCTAATATGTCTTGGGGGAAAAGAGGTAAAACTTAGAGCTTGTTCTCCCACATTGCTACACTCTAGTTCACCTGGATCAGAGCCCAGGAGACATCAGAAGCATTCCCACGTGGTATCTTTAAATCTTTCATTCATTCAATGGTCTCCTCTATTTCACATGTAGGTAAAATTTTAAGTCAGGAAAAGGGGAAGGACAGACGAAGAAAAGAAGAATATGGTGGATCTGTATTTAACCATGGAATAACGTGAGGCTCATGTACTAGTAAGTTGTCTTTAAGAGTATCACACTCTTCTTAACACACACACACACACACACACACACGTACACACGGCGCTATTGCTATTTACTTTTCTGGAAAACATTTTGAGCTTTTGTCAAAATCAAAGGCCATGAAAGTGTTACTCGTGTGTGCAATGTTAGGCAACAGGCTGGAAACAGCTGCCCGAAGTAGCCAAGAAGAGACTGAAATGTACAGGTACCCAGCAGTGGACTTTTGTTCAATGCACATTTAATTGTCTTCCTGCTGCATATAAAATACTACCCAGAGACTGTGGGGAGGATATAAAGCTATTTTCCCAATCAAAATATGAAGAAAGAAAACACCTATTTTAGAAGAAGAATTATAAAAATACCTCCACTGCTTCTTTAAACAGCAACCTAGACATCTTGCATCTATGAGGACAAGTTCCTCCAAAAAACAAATGGAGTGACGATCAAAGAGCTAAGGCACCTGTAAACACAGACTTTCTTTCATGCATGCGACACTCTGTGAGCACAGAGGCTTATATTTTCTGAAGCAAAACTGAGGGCATATGTTCTGAGTAGAAGTCAACATCCATGATGCAAAACTTTAAATCAGTGTTTTCTCATAAAAAATGAGAATCTTTCTCAAGTACGAGGTTCAAAATGGTTCTTCTGGTTGTTTAAAATCACATAAAGGATTGATAAAAACCGTATCTACAGACCCATGTACACTTCTGGAAGCGTTGTGGCAGTGAGGAATATAATAAACCAACTGGAAGAAGACTTACTCCTTAATCTCAGTCCTCTGGAAGGTCATGTCACAGACAGTATAAAAACATATGACATATACAGAACTGACTTGAACCTACATGGAAACAGGGTTTGCTTTTTCCTTACTAATTCAAAACCTGAAGTTATCTCATATCCGTAGTGGTCACTTGATAGGCTTAGCTTTCAAAAGCCTAGCTGGAAACACCAAATAAAGGAACCCACTGGACAGACAGATGGGTGCTGAGATTATTTCTGGTAGAAGACACTGGCAAGCCTGGCAATTTATCCTTGGGGCTGGCTAACGTTAGCCTGTGGACTAACTCCCAGAACTTCCCTGAGCATCTCTCAAAACTCATTACGGTAGGGACACTTGAGTTTGTGAGCAGCAAACACCTCTTCCACAAAACCAAACCTACTGAAGAAGCAGGCACAGAAGCAAATGTTACCTAACACCAAGCGTCAGCAAAAGCATGGGGAAGGAGCCTATACGCCTGTGCCTCGTCTCAGACACTTCCAGGGACTTCCTCCCATGGGGCTGCACACAGTAGCCTGCACAGGGGAACAAGGGCTGCTAGGGGATCACAAGTTCTCGTGTCCTACGCCTGGATCTTTTAGTGGGCAGCAATACCTACCAATTTATCTCTATCACCATTAGCATCTAGGGAACAACGGCTAGTGCAATCTGCAGACCAGCGTTTGTCCTCCATAAAAGCAGTCAGAAGATAGGAACTGTTTGTGGGCTGGGGAGGACAGAAGAACGGTATAGCACTTGTGTGAAACTTTGGGCTGGATCCAGAGCACCGCAAAAATTAATGACTGAACTCTGGACAGGTAACTATTAATAATATGCAATTTCACGGTGTAGGTACTTTTGTTGTGTACATATTAATGGAGCGTCTGATTCATGGATGCTGACACTCCCCAGGGCACTGGAGACAGACATGTAACACCAATGGCTGTCAACCAATCTAGTTCCCAAGGCCAAGATGGAACCCAAGTCACTACAGAGGTGAGCACAGGGGGCGGGGTGCAGAAAAGGCTCAGGGGAGTTGATGACAATAGTGAACAGAAGGCTTAGGGATTCAGGAGGGTAGAAAAAACAGTAGATGTAGAGGTCCAATGGCAAACATTGTGACTAGCAAACCATGTGAAATTTCTCAGGTGGCTCAATGTAGAGGGTGGGAAACAGGACTGTGTGGGCAAGAGAAATCCTTCTCATCTCTTCCCAAATATTTACTGATCCCCTGTTAATGTCAGACACCAGAAGACATCTGGAACAAAAATAAAACAAAAAATATCCTGCCCTCATAGACACTGCATCCTAACTGAGAGAAAGAGCCAGTAATTTTAAGTGAGAAAAGTATATAGTCTATTAGAATATGATCAATGCTCTAGACAAAAAAAAAAAAAAAAAAAACTATGGGAGCAAGGAGAAGGGACGATGATTATTTGGATGGTGACCAAAGAAGACTTCAGGAAGTGATACCAAACACAGGCTGGAGGGTGGGGCTGGGGAGAACAGAGGGGTGGCTGAGTCCAAATAAGAGAATGGTTCCCAGAATAAGGACTGGCACCCGCATGTTATCCTGCAGGCAGCACTGGACACTGCGGGATGTCATTCTGGGAAGTGAAATGACCAGATTTGTTTTGGAAGAATCACTCTCACTCCAGCAGCCATGTTCAAGATGGATGGAGGGGGCAGGGCTGGATGCAAAAAGACTAAAAACAAGAAGGTGCAGGAGAGGGTCGGAACTAAGTGAAGAAGGAATAAACGAGACAAGTTTAAGCAGTATTTGAAAAGTACAATCAACACTACAGTAGAAGTAATCGTAGCAAAATGCAATGTTTTCACAGCATGTAGTCCCAGACGCAAGGATGTAAATCACCTCATTTGCCACAGCCAGTTCTAGGCACCTAATGGAACCTGTGAAAACAGGTAATTCTGTGGGAACACATTACGTATGAGAATGACAAACCACTTCACAGAAATTTCTATTTGCTTTCCTTTTTATGTATTTTACTTTAAATGGCAAGACTTACTAGTAACAACTGATCCCTAAGCTTTGCAAAATAAAGACAGGATATTTTGGGCTGGGATTGCAGGTCAAGTGGCAGATAGCACTTGTCTAGCATGTGTGAGGTTCTGGGTTTGATCTCCAGCACACACACACACACATACACACACTCACACATATACATATACATATACACATACACATACAAACAGGCTATTTTAAAAAAGCAAATTCTTTTCCTAACAATAATACCTTAACCACAAAAGTCGCTCTTTTTAAAAGGAAGCATATTTCCTTTTCAGTGTGTGTGTGTGGTGTGTGTATCACTGGGGATTGAACATAGATCTTATGCGTGCTATACAAACACTCTACCACTGAGTTATCCTCTATCCCCTTTTGATTTAGTTACTGTATTTAACTTCAAGGTCAAAGTATCTATTAATTACAATAGGATTTTCTTCCGAAGATATATAAAGAAGGTTCAAAAGGCTGGGCTTTTGAAGAGAACTTCCTGCTTTGTACAATACACTTTGTGATCTTGTTTAAAGTAAATTGTACTACAATTAGCTCTCTCTTCTTCCTTCTAAAGCTGGTGAACACAGAATTACAGCACAGAAACTACTTACGAAAGCTACCTTGGCCAAGTGAAAAGAATTGAACTTGGAGAGTTCGAACAGCAGGCTGTTACCTAGCTGTGACATAAACAAATTACTTAACCTCTGAGTTCTCATCAGTTAAACAAGAAGGCTTGATTGAGATGCAGTCAAAGTTCCTCTCCAACTCTAAGATTCCACGAATCTTCTAGGTATTTTTAGTATTAATTGTATATTTCCTTCATTGGATTATCCATTTACCAGAACCAAATTTAATACGATGAGCATTCTCCACTCTCAACTCTATCCTGTCTCCCTCCTTCACCTGGGGCATATTTACAGTATACAGCTAATTTCAGCACAAGCTAAGCAAAGCCTTGTTAGGGAGGAAATGAGTGAGGGAGTACACTCATTAGCTATTATTCAAAAACTAATCAGAAATCACTGGAGTCTTACTTGCTATTGAATGTCTCTGGACCAACACGGCCCAAGTGAACTTTCTACACCTGTCCAGTCCAGTATGGTAGCCACCAGCCCCACGTAGCTACTGAGCACATGAAATACAGCTAGTGCAATTATGCAATTAAGGGTCTGGATTTTTAACCTTAGTTAACTTAAATTTAAATAGCCTTGTGTGGCCAGTGGCTGCTGTACTGGACAGGCCTGCTGGATCACTGCACTGGTAAGAAATATCTGAGAGTTTGGAACATGTCCTAAATAACCATTAGTTCTTGGCTCTCTGAAAACTTTTAATTTAATTTAATAATGTCAAGCTTGTTAGAAGAGAACATAAGAATTTTAAGACCTAAGAAACTTCAAAAGATTTGGTTTTCTTCTAATATTCCACAA